ATCATGAGAAGTTCTGTTGTTACATTCAGCCTTATGGAGGTGAACTGCACAGAGCTCTGAGTCTGGCCTCATTTACAGCCTGGGTGGACAAACAGGGCTGCAGGCAGCATGTCTGCGTTGTGTGTGTTTATCTCTGTGTGCTTTGTTGGCTAATAGTGGTGGGTTACTTTTGGCGTGCCCTCGTCTTGATGGGTTTTTACTCTCTACTTGCTCATTGGAGCTGCACCTTACCCGGCAACTATTTGTACATTTGAATAATTGAATGATTTTATTTGGTCATATCAGAAATACTTTCAAATCATACAAATAAATAATTAATTAAATCTTATTTGACGAAAAGGTATAGGAAGAAGCTAAATGCTTATTCTGCCTCTCCTTTCAAGTTCTCATGGATTCCCCAGAACACAAAAAACATGAACAAAAGAAAAGCAGAACATCAATATTCAATGTACAATACAATAATAATGTCCACCTATTTACACTTATTTATATACATATAAATATAAATCATTACTATTTTTAATATTACTATTATTGTTACAAGTATTAAATTTCCATGTATTACTATTATATTATAATCTACAATTATCAACTTTTATTACTATTGGCCTTTAATTCTTCATTAGCTTCCATTTTAATTTATTTCAAAACCTTGAGAGCCACTAATTTATTAGCCAGTTGCTTTTTAGTCGCCTACATGTTTCAGATCATAAAAGTTTATATTAAAGATGATGTGAGTAAATATAAAAGGAAGTTTTTAATTAATTTTTTTATTAAGGAAAATTATCCAAATCAACTTTGCTCTATGTAAAAAGTAATGACCCTCTAAACGTAGGTGCTGTGCCACCCTTGGCAATCAATCATTTAACTGTTGATGAGTGTTTCTGTGGAGGAATGTTGCTGCTCTGCTGCAGAACCCAAACGAGTTTAAGGTCGTGTTCTGACGACCGGTCGTTCTCCAAGATTCTCTGGTAGAGAGCAGAACTCATGGTTCCATCATTTACAGAAAGTGGTTCAGGTACCAAAGCAGCCCCAGACCATGACTCTACCACCACCATGTTTGACTGCTGGTAGGACGTTTTTTCTAAAATCCAGTGTTAGTTTTACACCAGATGTAACGGGTCGCACACCGTCCAAAATGTTCCACTTTTGTCCCGTTTTGGGGAAAGTCACTGTTTTGTTTTTTTGGTTGATATCAATCAACCTTTATTTATACAGGTAAATCCCATTGAGCCTCGAGGACTCATTTACAAGAGAGACCTGATTTCAACAAAGAAAGATGACAACAATGGACAACAGCAACAACAATAAACAGTTATAAAAAAGCATACTACAGTGTTTTTTTTTTTTTTTTTTTTTTTTTTTTTTTTTAACAAATAGGATGGCTAAAAGGAAAAGGTAACAAAACAAAAAACAGCTAGATTCCAAGACAAATGTAGAAAACTAACAACAGGAACATGTCAGCATTGGACCCTGCCAGGAGTCCAACAGATTCTTAAAGACACTTAGAGAGGTCAAGGTCGAGAGCTTCAAATCTTTTTGTAAGATATTCCAGGAAACGGGAGCGGAATAGGCGAAGGCCCTTTTGCCTAGTTCAATCCTCACTGAGGGAACACTGCAGGTAATAATGTCCTGAGAGTGTACGCTGTAACTGCACTCACGCAGAGACATGTAGGAGGAGATGTATGAAGGCAACAGACCAAGAAGTGATTTAAAGATGAAAATATACCAGTGAGAGAGTCTGCGTGAAGTTAATGATGTCCAGTTAACCAGTGAATACAGGGTGCAGTGGTGGGTACGATAATCACAGCCAGTTATGAATCTTAGTGCACCATGATAGACAGCATCCAACATCTGCAGGGTGCTTGTAGGAGCGTTCATGTAAATAATGTCACCATAATCAATGGAGGGAAGGAAAGTCACAGATACAAGGCGTTTTCTAGCATTCAGGGTTAAACAGGATTTGTTTCTGAAAAAGATGTGAGGCGAGCCTTCGTGTCGTCTCTGCTCAGCAGGTTTTGACATTAGAACTCTGCCATGGAGGCCATTTTATTCTTCTTGTCTAGTTCTTATTGTTGCATCATGAACTTTGATCCTAACTGAGGCATTGAGGCCTGCAGGGCTTCAGATGTCCTGGGTTCTTTTGGAACCTCCTTTGTTGTGTTCTGGGAGTATTTTGGCTCGGCTGACAGCTCCTGGGACGGTTCTCCACTGTTCCACGTTTCACCGTTTGTGGATAATAGCTCTATTTAGGTGATTTCTTGATTCTACATGTCTGGCAGTAATCGAGCCTGGGTGTGGCTGGTGAAACTGATGGGGGGGTGAAAGTAGGGGCAGTTGTTGTTGTTTCACACAGGGCCAGACCTTCACTTCCTCTCGGACCCAGTCTTTGCTTCCCTGTCAGCTTTTCCCCCTCTGCTCTTTTAAAAACACAGATTTACTGGAATAAGCTTGCTGTCTTTTTCCTGCCACTCTGTATGATGTGTGACAGCCAGTCTCACCACAAGGCAAGGTGTGGTAGGGAAGGGCAGTGTTTACATACTGACAAATGTACAGCTCATACCGATACATCCGCTTGACAAAGATTAATATTAAGTAAGGAAAGCTGAACATTTTTTTTCCTCTTAAACCCCACAGTTTGTTTTAGTTGTCTTTTTTTTTTTTATCCTCTCTGAGTAAATGACAATAACCAAACAAATGGTTTCCTTCTGTGATGGTTCAACTCCACAGTGTATCTCACTAATGGTAGCTGTTTGTTCTACTATATTTACACAGTGGAGAAATCAGTGTTTAAAAATGATCAAGGTTACAGCCTAACAGCTCTCGGTACAGCTGGGCTGTTGGCTGCTGCTACAAGACAAAAGCTCAGAACGAGAAAAAGATGCTGTCTCGAGCTTATGTTGGAATGGTATGCAGCCAAGTTTTATATCTAATACAACAATAATGCTTTATTAGGTTTATGCTCATCTGGATTCTTATGGGGGCACAGAAATCGTTTTATGACGGGGTAGCTCAAATCTTTTGAAGGGGAGTTTTGTGTGAAGGTTTTGAAAAATGCTTATGTTATATAAAGCTCTTTGATTGATCTCAGTTTGGAGACGTCTTTTATTTATTTTCTTTTTTTTTTATATATAAACTGAATTTAATTATTTTCCTGATCAATTTGAGGAGCTAATGGCTAGTCTGAGGGGGAACTAAAACTAAAATGAATTGCTGCCTTTCAAAGCAACTCCTGCTTAAAACAAAATCATAGACTCATGCAAACACTGTTTCATAAACATTTCCACTGCCTTCAGTTTTACATCACTCAATTATTGTCAGAAATATTATGATTTTTATGTTGGGAGAGCTGCTGCTCGCTACTGACACCACCATTTCCACTTTCAAATCACATAATTCTTTTTAAATAACCACATTTTGCAAAACTGATGGCAATGAGCTGTTAGCCTGTTGTTCTGGTTTGAATTTAACCTTTTCTTTTCCCCCAAACTCAAGCCGTTCAAAGTACTATCTGCAACAGGTGAGATATTAATTATTCATAATGTTCTACAGAACCTTAACTCAAAATATCTGTGCTGTCTCTTTAACTTTTTCTTTAAAACAATAGCCATCTGTATTAAAATAAAAGGGTTGGGTTACTTTGTTGCTTCAGGCAAAAGAACAGTAATGGAAAATCAATAAAATGATCCTTCATTTAGACCAAAACAAAACTATCGTTGGCAGAGACGCATTGTTTACACACACGCACACACACAGAGAGAGGCCTATTCAATCTGTGAGCTACAATGACCAGAATACAGACCATCTGCCAGTTTAAAAACAGACACAAGTCATGTGAAGGCTGTCTGGCTCAGGGTAGAGATGCTACTTTTAGTATCACATAATGCCACAAAGTTAGGATGCTCACCGTTTACCTTCCCAAGTCCTGAAAAATAAACCTAAAAATTACAAAAAAACAGACTCCCTGAATAAGGACAACAATCTCAAGTTGGATATAATGCATATTGTGATGCATAAAATATTAAATTGCAGGGTCTCAGAAGGATAAAATTCAAATTATATAAAAATGATGTAAGAAGGAAAAATCTCCGTCCTAAACCTTAACAAATTGGTATTCAGTGTGTAAAGTGAAAGGAGAAAAGACTGCTTTAACATTTGCCTAAATATGTGTTTTGATATTGTGTGACTGTTGTAGCTGTGTTTAATGTAGGTTTGGCTTAATGATGTATGTAGTTTTTTGACACCCCACAACTTGTAAAGTGTCAAACACCCAAAACTTTAAATTAATTCAGCGTAATCATATCTTCCAGTTGTGTTTTATATTGCAACTTTTAATTTGAAAGGTAAGGAGTAAATTCTTAATGCTGGAAGATAAGTATGAGCATGAGTCCTAACTCATTCCGGCTGCTTGCGTGTCCTTTATTCCTATTTATAAGAACTGTGTCAGTCAAAGACTCTTAATTCTTTAAAATATTTGATTAGATCAGTTAAAAATAATTTTCCTTTGAGATTAATAAAGTATTTTTGAATTTGAATTTAACATGACGTGAGGGATTTATTTTCTTTGGCCCTCATAATCCTAATTTGATTGCTACCAAGGCTCAAACTTGTTGCAGCGTTTTTGTAGCTTATTTTTTCCAGTTATGACCCAAGAAGCAGGTGGTCAAGTTTTTCTGGTTGAGGCACATGTTTATTTCCTTTTCTGGCCGGTGATAAGCATCTTTGTAAAGTCAGTAGCTGGTGATGTAATTCTGCTGAATAATGCCACTCGTTAAACTAAATTACACATGAATTAAATTACACATTAAATTGTGCTCATTGTCTCATACATATGTTCATTGTTGTAAAATAACTTTTAATAACCTTCATGCAGCCTGCGGTGCAGAGAAGATTGAAAGGAAAAGCAAACAGCATACAATCAGATTACAGCTCGCCTGTCTCTCCTGCCATTAACCTCTCTGTATTTTCTCTCTCCCGCCCTTGTTGTTTTCATCGTGCAGGTGCAGTACTGATGGAAGTCTCAGAGGTCCATAGGTCGGTTCAACTTGAACTCGAGGAAAATGTAAGTGATACAAATGTTTTAAGGCTCACTTATGTATCCTCTGTAAATTACTGCCATCTGTGAGTATGTTGCATAACAATTTCTTTCCACACAACGACAAACTAAAGCTCAGTTGACGAAGCACCAATTAGTTGCTGACTCAATCCAACGATAGTCCTCCCTCTCCTTTTTCTACTCCTATAATAAACACCTCGCCTCCTTCCCCACCTACATCCTTTACAGAAGCTTCAAGAAATATATATTCAAATTTGGATGGACACACGCGTGCCAATTTTTTTTCCCTTGCTGAGAACAAGGGCAAGTCTAAACAAGCCTTTAAAAACCTCAGCTGGAGGAGCTGCATTGAGATTCATTAAAGCTGCTTTCATACATGCACCACTTTCCATTGATCAGGTGGTAACTAAAGGTGCTTATGTAACGCCTGATTCAACGCCTGGTGGGTTTTTGTGACGCAACGTTACAAGTTTGAATCCAAAAACATAAGCGGAATACTTTAAAACCAGTCTGAGATGCTTCAGTAAGATTCAGTACTTTACAGTCAGTTGTTCCCAAATTTGTGGTCAGGAACACTTTATGGGTCGCAAAACACCAAGGAGGGGGTCTACAGATATCATATTAATTAAAAAATAACCAACATTTTTAGATTTAACTCCGACAAAGAGAGAAAACGGTTATAATAAATTCAAAATGTGCTGTTAGACAAGACTCATTGTTAAATGGATTATTAGCAACATTTGTATACCTTAGTTTATCTCTGCAACTTTTGTTTTGTGGTTAAAAAGCAGGAAGTTTTGGGAACCACTGATAGATTTATTCAAGTGGTACTCTGGATTGTTGATAAATAATTACTATCTTACTTGTTGTAGATAGATCATTGAATCTCTGTTTGGGGGGGAAAAAAAAGTTATTTAATTCTGACTAGATTGACAGCCTCCCTAGGGAGATGCTTCGGGCATGTCTGACTGGGAGGAGACCCCGGGGTAGACCCAGGACACGCTCGAGAGACTACGTCTCTCGGTTGGCCTGGGAACGCCTTGGGATCCTCCCAGAAGAGCTGGAAGAGGTGGCTGTGGAAAGAGATGTCTGGGCCTCCCTGCTCAAGCTGCTGCCCCTGCGACCCAACTTCCGAGCAAGTGGAAAATGATGGATGGCTGGATGGATGGATGGATGGATGGATGGATGGATGGATGGATGGATGG